CTGACTAAGCACAAAGGGGGAAAAAAAAAAGCCATCATAGAGCTGTGACTATTTTCAAGGCTAATCTTTTTCTCTGTGGAACACTGCCTTTGGGGCAAAACAAGGAAGAAGCAGGTGATTCTAATATGCAGCGCAGGACAGCCACTGCAGGCCAGCTTCTCCAACTCCGAAGGCATGCCAGTCATGTGGCTGACAAGGTCTTGATGATCCGGCTGGGTGTCAGGCCTGAGCCTCTGAGGTGGGAGAGCCGAGTTCAGGACATTGGTCCACCAGAGACCTCCTGGCCCCATGTATTATCAATCAGCGAGAGCTCTCCCAGAGATCTCCGTCTCAACGCTAAGACCCAGCTCCACTCAACAACCAGCAAGCTACAGTGATGGACACCCTATGCCAAACAACTAGCAAGACAGGAACACAACCCCACCCATTAGCAGAGAGGCTGCCTAAAATCATACTAAGTTCACAGACACCCCAAACACACCACCGGACACAGTGCTGCCCAAGAGAAAGACAAGATCCAGCCTCATCCACCAGAACACAGGCACCAGTCCCCTCTGCCAGGAAGCCTACACAACCCACTGAACCAACCTTACCTACTGGGGGCAGACACCAAAAACAACGGGAACTACGAACCTGCAGCCTGCGAAAAGGAGACCCCAAACACAGTAAGGTAGGGAAAATTAGAAGACAGAGAAACACACAGCAGATGAAGGAGCAAGGTAAAAACCCACCAGACCAAACAAATGAAGAGGAAATAGGCAGTCTACCTGAAAAAGAATTCAGAGTAATGATAATAAAGTTATCCAAAATGGACAAATTTATAGAAAAGCACAACCTTCTAAGACTGAACCAGGATGAAATAGAAAATATACACAGACCAATCACAAGCACTGAAATTGAAACTGTGAATAAAAACCTTCCAACAAACAAAAGCCCAGCACCAGATGGCTTCACAGGCGAATTCTATCAAACATTTAGAGAAGAGCTAACACCTATCCTTCTCAAACTCTTCCAAAATATAGCAGAGTGAGGAACACTCCCAAACTCATTCTATGAGGCCACCATTACCCTAATTCCAAAACCAGACAAAGGTGTTACCAAAAAAGAAAACTACAGGCCAATATCCCTGATGAACATAGATGCAAAAATCCTCAACAGAATACTAGCAAACAGAATCCAGCAGCACATTAAAAGGATCATACACCATGATCAAGTGGGGTTTATCCCAGGGATGCAAGGATTCTTCAATATATGCAAATCAATCAACGTGATACACCGTACTAACAAAGTGAAGGAGAAAAACCATATGATCATCTCAATAAATGCAGAAAAAGCTTTCAACAAAATTCAACACCCATTTATGATAAAAACTCTCTGGAAAGTAGGCATAGAGGGAACTTACCTCAACATAATAGAGGCCATATATGACAAACCCACAGCCAACATCATTCTCAATGGTGAAAAACTGAAACCATTTCCACTAAAATCAGGAACAAGACAAAGTTGCCCACTCTCACCACAATTATTCAACATAGTTTTGGAAGTTCTAGCCACATCAATCAGAGAAGAAAAAGAAATAAAAGGAATCCAAATCGGAAAAGAAGAAGTAAAACTGACACTGTGTGCAGATGATATGATACTATACATAGAGAATCCTAAAGATGCTACCAGAAAAATACTAGAGCTAATCAATGAAATTGGTAAAGTAGCAGGATACAAAATTAATGCACAGAAATCTCTTGCATTCCTATGAAAAATCTGAAAGAGAAATTAAGGAAACACTCCCATTTACCATTGCAACAAAAAGAATAAAATGCCTAGGAATAAACCTACCTAAGGAGACAAAAGACCTGTATGCAGAAAACTATAAGACACTGATTAAAGAAATTAAAGATGATACAAACAGATGGAGAGATATAACATGTTCTTGGATTGGAAGAATCAACATTGTGAAAATGACTCTACTACTGAAAGCAATCTACAGATTTAGTGCAATCCTTATTTAAGTACCAATGGCATTTTTCACAGAACTAGAACAAAAAATTTCACAATTTGTATGGAAACACAAAAGACCCCGAAGAGCCAAAGCACTCTTGAGAACGAAAAACAGAGCTGGAGGAATCAGGCTCCCTGACTTCAGACTATACTACAAAGCTACAGTAATCACGACAGTATGGTACTGGCACAAAAACAGAAAGATCAATGGAACAGGATACAAAGCCCAGACATAAACCCACGCACATATGATCACCTTACTTTTAATAAAGGAGGCAGGAATGTACAGTGGAGAAAGAACAGCCTCTTCAGTAAGTGGTGCTGGGAAAACTGGACAGGTACATGTACAACTATGAGATTAGATCACTACCTAACACCGTACACAAAAATAAGCGCAAAATGGATTAAAGGCCTAAATGTAAGGCCAGAGACTATCAAACTCTTAGAGGAAAACATAGGCAGAACACTATGACATAAATCACAGCAAGATCCTTTTTGACCCTCCTCCTAGAGAAATGGAAATAAAAACAAAAATAAACAAATGGGACCTAATGAAGCTTAAAAGCTTTTGCACAGCAAAGAAAACCATAGACAAGATGAAAAGACAATCCTCAGAATGGGAGAAAATATTTGCCAATGAAGCAACTGACAAAGAATTAATCTGCAGAATATACAAGCAGCTCATGCAGCTCAATATCAAAAAAACAAACAATCCAATCCAAAACTGGGTAGAAGACCTAAATAGACATTTCTCCAAAGAAGATATACAGACTGCCAACAAACACATGAAAGGATGCTCAACATCACTAATCATTAGAGAAATGCAAATCAAAACTACAATGAGGTATCACCTCACACTGGTGAGAATGGGCATCATTAAAAAATCCACAAACAGGGCTTCCCTGGTGGCACAGTGGTTGAGAGTCCGCCTGCCGATGCAGGGGACGCGGGTTCGTGCCGCGGTCTGGGAAGATCCCATATGCCGCGGAGCGGCTGGGCCCGTGAGCCATGGCCGCTGAGCCTGTGCGTCCGGAGCCTGTGCTCCGCAAGGGGAGAGGCCGCAACGGTGAGAGGCCCGCGTACTGGGAAAAAAAAAAAAGAAAAAAAAAATCCACAAACAATAAATGCTGGAGAGGGTGTGGAGAAAAGGGAACCCTCTCACCCTGTTGGTGGGAATGTAAATTGATATAGCCATTATGGGGAACAGTATGGAGGTTCCTAAAAAAAGTAAAAATAGACCTACTATATGACCCAGAAATCCCACTTCTGGGCATATACCCTGAGAAAACCATAATTCAAAAAGAGTCATGTACCCCAGTGTTCATTGCAGCTCTGTTTACAATAGCCAGGACATGGAAGCAAGTTAAGTGTCCATCGACAGATGAATGGATAAAGATGTGGCACATATATATAATGGAATATTACTCAGTCATAAAAAGAAATGAAATTGAGTTATTTGTAGTGAGGTGGATGGACCTAGAGTCTGTCATACAGAGTGAAGTAAGTCAGAAAGAGAAAAACAAATACCGTTGGCTAACACATATATATGGAATCTGAAAAAAAAAAAGTTCTGAAGAACCTAGGGGCAGGACAGGAATAAAGATGCAGACATAGAGAATGGACTTGAGGATACGGGGAAGGGTAAAGGTAAGCTGGGACGAAGTGAGAGAGTGGCATGAACATATATACACTACCAAATGTAAAATAGATAGCTAGTGGGAAGCAGCCGCAAAGCACAGGGAGATCAGCTCAGTGCTTTGTGACCACCTAGAGGGGTGGGATAGGGAGGGTGGGAGGAAGACACAAGAGGGAGGGGATATGGGGATATATGTACATGTATAGCTGATTCATTTTGTTATATAGCAGCAACTAACACAACAATGTAAAGCAATTATACTCCAATAAAGGTGTTAGAAAAAAAAGATGCAGGAGGAGACCCAGAGGGTCCCTTTGTTGGCATATTTCACATGTAAGTTGACACCATTGGATGTGGTGTAAGTTGACACCTCTTTTGAAAAGAAAATCAATTCATTCCAAGGTATTACCAGAGTGTCACTCCAGAAAGTGAATTTCCATATGAATCATCACCTATGGCTCACTTTTCCCCATGTTTTGACATTTTACACCTTCATTTATCTGCCCATTCACTCACACATGGGTCAAACAACACTGTGGCGGAGAACAAAACAGATGCCATCTGTCTTCAGAGACTTCACACTCTAAACAGAAAGAGAACAAGAAACAAGCAATTACAATGCAATGTGTTCAGGTAAGCGCAGGTTTCCTGGGATTCTGAACCGGATTTGGGTGAAGTTTCGTGTGAGACCTGAAGGGTTAACTGGGTGTATGTAGGAGAGTGTCCTTTTTTTTTTTTTTAGAAAAAACACATAATGTTCAGGGCATCATGTCTGCATATTACACTCAAATAATTCAGGCAGAAAAGCATATAAAGATGGAGATGAGAGAGAGAGAGGGAGGGAAGGAGGGAGGGAGGGAGAGAAATGTAACTTAATGTTAACAACTGCAGAACTTGGGAGTTCTTTTTACTGTTCTTGCAAAGTGTCTGTAGGGTTAAAATTATTTCAAAATAAAAAACATTTTTCATGAAGAAAATAAGGAGCTACAAGTTCAACAGCATTATCTGTTTCAATATTACTTCATACTTTTTCAAGCATTCTGCTACCCTAAAGGTATATTTCAATGTTACTGCACACTTACCAAGCATGATACTATTCTACCCTGAAGGTAAAATTACATTTCATCTTATTTTCTTTCATCATACATTTGGTCTAGCGCTTCATTTGAAAAAACTTATTAGGAAAAAATACACATTTTAATGTATGACTAAAACATAAAACTTGCAGAATTAATTTCTGAAAAATTTTTAAGTAAAAAAAATGTTTTAAGTAAAAAAAAAAAAGAAATGTTACTTCATTGCTTTTTTTTCATTATTGTGCTCAATGGAAGTGACAAGTCAATTTTCTCGCTGTTTCTTTCCTGGCTAGGTTTCATATGTCAAAGCTATTGACATTTGGATGGCAGTGTGTCTCCTTTTCGTGTTTTCAGCACTACTGGAATATGCAGCTGTCAATTTTGTATCGAGACAACATAAAGAACTTCTGAGATTTCGACGAAAGAGAAAGAATAGGGTAGGCGATTAAATGCATTAAGTTCTCTGGGATACAATTCTCCCTGGAAAGTGAATTTGGCATATTTAATAGGGAGGTACAGAGAGGAAATGGGGACAGGGGCTAAATGAACTGATGTTCCTTTGGTTTTGGCCAGCTGAAACTTACATTGTCAAAAATAGCCTCAGGGAGAAAATGGTAACATCGAACTATACACAGCAGATCTGGTGACATGAGAGTTTTATCAACTTCTTTCTAATGTATGTCCTGGAACGACACCATTATTTGTTTCCACTAACAAAATCTATCATTTCTTATTGGCAAGGTTGCAGTGTTTCTGATGGTTTTACTTGACATAAGTCAACAAATATAGCTATTAAAGTTGTACCTTTTTTCGAACTAATTCCTTTGTTTCCATCAAATATCACCTATTTATTAATACTATGATGTTGATGTAAAACTCTGTGGTCTCCTTTTTATGTACACTTTTATGTTTTTAAGACATTTCTTCTGAATCCCCACTCGAAACACAATAAGGTGTATTTTTGCCTTGCTATCACTTGATAAGTCAAACCGAGAAGAAATTTTATTTAGAGCATCTTTGGGAGACCACATGAAATTGTAGAAGTAATCTCCTAATTGGATTTGTAAGTACAGGATGGCAGTTGTTCACCTCTATTAAGACTTGTAATGTCATCTTTCTTTATATTTACATAATTTCAATTAGCCCCTTTCCTTTTCTGCAAGGGAGAGTCTCTATCAACCAGCATATCTTTGAGTTTACTTTTAATGTGAATGTGCCAACTGACATTTTGAAAGCAAATGGTCTCTTAATCAAGAGAAATATCAAAGTTGTATATTACAGGAGAAATTGTGGCCAGAATCCAAAATACTGTAATATTTAAGTCAAAACATTCTCAACTCTTAAAAGTAATAGTCTGGTTTATATGTAGTGTGCATTTTTAAGGATTTAATTTTTTAAGGAATTTCTTATGGTTTCTGAATGACTGACTGTGATTTATATATTTTATAAGTTTTTTTAAGAAGCTCTAAGCCATGATCTCCCAGTGCTAAGCCTACTCAGTATTAAACATATTCTAAGGCAGTAACTTATCCAATCATGTCTAATTGACTCCCCAGAATCATCACCTGCTCCAATAAATACCCCAATTCACTGTAGCATGGAAGGAGTTTCAGCATTGCAATACTCTGGGTAACACGGTGGACAGAAGAAACAATGCCAGGGCTTGCATTTGATCAAATTTTTATAAATATTAAAGCACATCATTTATACATTAACATATATTTTCATGGAGAGATTAACTTTTCTTTATCTCCTGCCCCCCACCTCTCCCAGTCTGCTGGTTTCCTTATACTTTTCTCACTCTGCCCAACCCTCCCTCTCTCTCTTTCCTCCTTCTCTTTCCCTCCCTTACTGCCTATTTGCTCCTCTCTTTCATATGATACCTGGCACAGGCTGAAGCACTGTCATAGAACAAAGCATTCTGTATCACAGGGTGAAGCTGTTGTCTTTTTTTCCCATTAATGACTGATTAAGACTATTTTTTCCTTCTAACATGAATCAGAAGTAAAGCAACACTTATTTCCCCCTCTAATTTTCGTTCACTTTTTTACATTTATTTTTCATTTCTGTACCTTTTTTCTCCTTCCTACATGTAGGATGTATCAGCCACGTGCTGCAAACACCAGAAATGGGAAGTCGTTCACATGTGGTGTCCAAAGGGAGGTCTGAGAGCTCACACATTTTCTGCACCCATCACACAGCCAGCAGTCAGAGTAGCTAATGGATAACATAACAGGCTACAAGTTTAGATACTCAATTCTGATTTCTCCTTAAAAAAAAAAAAAAAATCCTTACCAAAGCAGCTCTTTATCCAATTTTACCACCTGCAAGTGTATTGGGATAAAAATATTTGACACCCCTTATTCTTTGGCTCACAGAAAGACAGCAAGATTAATGTTTCTAGTGATTGGCACTCTAGAAAAGTATCAAAATGCAAAAATAGTTACACCTGATTATTTTCTAATCACTATTTGAAATATTCAGGGAGCAAATATTGTAATTAACGTTTAGTGCAGGAAAAAAAATCCAGTGTTTTTTTTTTTTTAAGTTCACTTCATACTTTGGGGGGTGGATACCTTGCATATGTGAAAATCTATTAATTGATACATATGTATGTTAAGATGATCTATGCAATTAAAACCAATTGTGCAATTATATTTAATCATCTATGACTTTAATCATCTATCTCTGGTTTCTCAATCCTTTTTGGTCCACTTTACCTTCCCACAGACAGAAGCTTTTGCATTGGAGAAGTTTTACCGTTTCTCAGACACGGTAAATTCACTTTCTTAACTCTAAGTAGAGGAATGTGGTCATTGGTAGAAATGCAGACAGCATACTGTGCACTCAGGCAGTGTTTGGTGGGGAAACACAGCCCCTTGCACACTTAGAGCTGAACAACCACCAACCCCCTTCAGCTAAGGATACTCTCTTTTTCTAACAATTCCCTTTGTCTTCCCTCGCTCAATCAAAAGATATTGAAATATTGTCTTTCATCCTATTAACCAAACTGGTCAAAATGATTTTAAAATATATATTAAACAGAAATATCACATGTATCTTATAATAGTCTCCATAGAAGAAATAATCATATGCCTTGACAAAATTAGTTTCAAAATAAATGGGAAATTTATTTATATAAATAAGTTCTGAAAACAGCCCCTCTTGCCAGAAAATAGAGACCTAAAAATAAGGCAAAAATAAAATGCTTTGTCCGGCCTGTGTATCTTAAGCATCCTTTCTTAATGTTAAAACATGTTGAGATTCTTTAGAGTAAATGAATGATTTTGGTTTTGATAGCATCCTCGGAAGTGTTCGATTAAAAAGAGGTCACAAGGACACATGTCCAATTATAATGGCTGAATATTTAGAAATGTAATCTACAGTAGAGCATATCAGTAGCTTGACTTGGAGGTCCATAATATAGCACTCAGTGATTAAATTTTAAACATACCAAAAGCCAAGAATTTAGCTTGGGAAATCATATACAAACAGTCCAGTCTACTAAATTAAAATTTCTGGGATACAGTGTATTTTAAAATACCTCCCCAGGGACTTCCCTGGAGGTCCGTTCAGTGGTTAAGACTGCGCCTTCCAATGCAGGGGGTGCGGGTTTGAGCCCTGGTCAGGGACCTAAGATCCCCCATGCCTCATGGCCAAAAAAAACAAAACATAAGACAGAAGCAATATTGTAACAAATTCAATAAAGACTTTCGAAAAAAAAAAAAAAGCTCCATATCAAAAAAAACAAAACAGAAAAACCTCCCCAGAAGATTCTACTACACACCTTAGTTAAATAATCACTGAACTATTTTTCTTTTCTACTAAAATTGCATAGTTGTTCCCAATATAGCTAGCTACTTCTTCAGTTTTCATCCCTGGTGGAAAAAAAATTCACATGATCCAATTACTTTTACTTGATTATCCTAACGGTAATTTTTAAAAAATTAATTGCCTTGAATTTGCACAATAGCCCATAGTAGCCTCTTTGGGAAAGGTACATATTTAAATTTTCGGTAACTAAACAGTTCATACATATAGTAGCATTAGTATAAAATACATGTATTCAATTAAATATTGCCTTACAAAACAATGCAAAAAGAGCTCTGATGAAAAAAATCAGATTTCCTTCACCAACAGTCAATAAATACTTATTTTTTAAAAAAGAAACAGTATGGTTTTTTACAATATCGTTTAAAATGCAAACACACTCTAAAATACAATAAATGCAAATACATTGATTAGAAATCCGTGCACGCCATTTAGTTTTATAATATTCTAATCATCATGCAAATTTGGGGTTGATCATTTTCACTCTTTGAAAACGATTTTTGTCAACCTAATAGCCTTCTGGGCTGAATGAATTCCTCATTTTTTTTTTTTAAACTATGCACTTTGCTTAGAAACAATCTGAGCAATCAAAATCTTTAAATCAATATAATGAAAAGGAGGCTCAAGGTGGATGCCATGCCCTTTGTCATGAGTACTGACTTGCATGAGTTCTTCTTAGTACTTTAGTTTGGCAAAAGGGGCAATAACTAAAATCACCCCCTTAGAGAAAGCTTGATCACAACAGAGGGCTGTACACTGATGTACATGGTATTCCAAGGAAAGTTTTAAGTTGGTTCAGCATTGGCTTAGGCATTGCATACAATCTTTTACACCTTTCTTTTTCCTCTATGAAAGTACCAGGGAACCTTTTATATGCTGTGAAAGGATGCACATTCACTCTTGTATCCAAATTTCCCCACCCCACACTGTCGTAGCCTGCTGCGTGCTGATCACCCACCGCTGCACCTTGTCATAAATGCTTATCCCCGGGGCTGTGTGTGTGTGGGTGCATGCATGATATGAAAGTATTTTGGTTGGAAGTTGCTCTTCCCGTGTATGATATCATTACTTGAGTCCTGGAGGGTTATAAAGTCTTCAAAATATTTCCGAACATATGTTATTTGTTGAGCAATATGGATGATATGGGATTGCTTTAATGCATTTCATGCAGCTTCTGCACTGCAGTAGAATACTGCAATGGTTTGCTGAGTGAAAACACATACACACGGTGTTCTAGTACCTCTATCTTCCTACTTATTACTGTACATTAATTATTATTTGTGTACACAAATGAAATGAGAATGGACCACTAGTTCTAGATTCAAAAAATAATTACCAAGTTTGTATTTTGTTAGGCGTGATAGTTATCTTTTTTAAATAATTGACTGCATTTTGACTATCAGTACAAAAACTTCCATTTATATATGTATTTATATCCTATCTTATTTCAAAAATAACTCAAGGTAACGTTTAAGAATAACAAATAATTGATTTTTCTGCCTTGAACCTTTTGTCAGCTCTACAGTCTTAGGACAATTGCAAATATATACGTGTACTATTTTGGTTGAAGGGATGAGGCTCCATGCTTGGAAGCAACATGGTACCCATATACACTAAATTATTCAATAAAGTTTCCATTTGAGGTCAGTTTATGCTATATTCTAGAGTAGAAGATATTCTTTCAGTAGGTAAGTACTTCCTACAAATTTCTTTGATACATACCTGAGAAAAAAGTAGGTTCTCAGTAATTTCAAAGTAAATTCTATATGAGTGACTCTGATACACAGGGGTTAGAAATTTCATTTTCTCAAGTAAAACAAAAGTTGTAAGAATTTAATTATTTCCTGCCAACAAATATTTTGAGTTTATGTTAAACACAACTATTTCTTAGAACTATATCCCCTCTGAAATATCTCTTTAGGAAAATAATATTCAATAAAGTAATATAATCTCTACTTAATTTAGTGACACTTTAGTGACTTCCATCACAAAGTTAACTAAAAAAGATACACTGCTTTTTATATATGCTGTCCACTGTAATATAGTGTCTTATTTTGCCCCATAATTATGAGTTGGCAGTGAAAGAATCTAGCACATTAAATAGAAGTACAGATTTTAAAAAATACTTCATTGACTTCTCAGCAATTCCCCAAAATATATGTATTACATTTTCATAATATTTCATCTAAAATATTCATCTTTTTAAGCTTACATTTTACCATTCAATAATCTCCAAACCATTCTGAATCTAAATTCAATATGCCAAGCATAAACTTGGCTAATTCATAATTAATTCATGTCATCTATAAGAAATGCAAGGTTCCCCTGGGATTTCAAGGAATTTTATATTGACAATAGTCTTGCAAGTCTAAAGTATTTTTAACCTCATATATAGTTATATTTTTTTAAGCCTTCCATTTTTAAGTGATATAGAAATGTATATAGTTGTCTAAACTGAGGATTTTATTTTAAGCTGATACTTATTTCAGAAAAATAACTTTTAATTCATTCACATACTTCGTCTTACCTTAGAATTTTCTAAGTGATGTTGATTTTTTCTCAACAAAACCAAGCCATTGTTTTGTTTATTAATAATTTTTTCAAAATCTACACACTTTGAAATCATATAAATGGGAATTAATAGCAATTCACTTTTCCTTCCTTTGTCATTTTCCTACTTGACAATGAAAAGTTACAGAAAGTTATTTAAACAAAAAAACCTTTGGGATAATTTACTTAGCATCTTGATTGTATAAAGAACATCTCAAAGGTATCCAGTAGGGAAAAAACATTAGGATGAAAGTAACATATTTAGTGCTGTTGTATCTCAGAGCAATTCACATAATTAATCATCACTCACGCTGTTTTATATAATTAATGTTTTGTTACTGCTCACTAGCAATCTTCATGCTTTCACCAAGCCTGCAAACAATATTTTTTGTTATTGTTATTTTTGAAGACTAAGAGGATAGGAAATTAATTCTTGTTTCATATATATGTTAGTTTATTATGTTTGATGATAAAGATGAAGCAATTCAACTGAATGACTATATTTACCCTTGGGCTTTCTTTCTGTAATAATTCTAGTTATAATATGCATGTTACATGAGTTAGTCTTTGGCATAATTCTCTAATTAAAGTGAAAAGCACTTAGAATGTTTCACAATATGGTATTGTTGCTTAATTACTGAAACATTTTTCTCACTTCCATATTTAGTGAAAACAGGTCCTCCTGTAGAAAGAATTATACACTAACAAAATGGCTTTTTATATTTTTTATTGCCTACCCTTCTAACTTGCTTGAAGCATAAGAGGATTGACTTGTGGGTAAATGAAGCTGTTTCTTCAATTTTACTTTTTTAATCAGCCACGTTCTTTGGTTCATTTTAATTCATTCTATTTAATCTTTATTATTATGTCTGTATTTTGAGTTGCAAAGTGGCTTAATTTTATGAACGTTGAGCACTGGCTAACGTATAGTGCCTGAGTCAAAAGTTTTAGATGTTTGTCTAAACCTTGCTTTTGTGGCCTTTAGTCCCTTAGAAACCCAAGCGAAAGACCTCACCAGAAAATTGAATTATCTCAAAAAAATATTTGAGTGTTAATTTGAATAAAGAATATCACTGCACCTCTGAACATATATAAACACGGGATAATTTTATGACTGAGTTTTACAAAACAGAGAAATTAGTTGAGTCATAAAATAATTTAATGCACCTTCTAGTATAGCAATCTATTATTAATGATGAGCTAATAGAAAAACTTCATTCATGCTTAAAATTATTATTTTAAGTGTAGCCCTTCAAAAAGATCCCCAAAGTCAAGTCATTTTAAAAAAATCATAAGATCGTTTTGGAGTTCAGGGATCCTTGCTTCTCTCATCCTCTCTCCGGGGTAGCGACTGGAGTCTGGTCCAGTAGAGCTGAGATCCTGTTGCTGAAGAA